ATGTTTTTTTTAAAGGAAGACATAATACAGCTTTGAGTTATATAACTTCATATGTAACATATGAAGGCAACTTGGATTTTATTTAGGTTCACCAGATTAAATGTTGCTAACCTAAGGCACTTTGTAATAATCAAAAGAGGCTCCCAATAGCCTTACTTACAGAAAATTAGATTTTACTTTTAAAATATAATTTAAAACGATTTTAAAAGTAAAATCTTTGTACGTCATCAGAAGACATACAGAACTAAACCAAAAACTGAAAATACACCCAGAAGAAGCCACTTTGTCCAAAGTAGATATCTCCTCTTCCTCTCTATAACATTTAGCTGGACAACTAGTTTGTAGTCGGACACAGATTTCGAATCACACTCTACAGTTGCAGTATTTCTATACATTTTTTTTTTTGGATAACATGTATTTAATATGTTTAAATCACTGCATAATTTCAACGTGCCAGAAGTGACTAGAACATCTTCCATCAGTGATGTTCAGAGGATCTTCCTTTACTTATGAGCAAATCAGGTACAGCATCACACTTGATGTCAGCCTTTCTATCTGATGTGTTGTGTGAAGGCGGCCTGTGAGTTGAGTTCTTCTCTTAGATGACAGTGTGTGCTCTTTGTTCTAGCTGTGTCTTGTGACGGGTCTGCAGTGTGCTGGATGAGTCTGGAGCTGCGTCACCGCTGACTGTAATGGCAGAACACTGCAGGGAGGAAAAAACTACAGCATTCGACTTGTACCTTTTGTTCTTAAAAATTAGAAAGAACATTCTTACACAGATGGAAGACTGAGTGAAATACTTTAAGATGTACAGATTTACAATGGTTATTATACTCCTCTTGTGACGGCTTTAATGTGACATTGTGAGTGTAATATCTGAAGGAAGTGTTTATGTTAAGTCATCCTGTAATAGAAATGAACTGAAAAGACTGTGACTGCGTGATCGACAAAATGCTTGTAAATTTAAGATATAAACATCAAAAGCCCAATTTCCATGTAACACGACTGAGTAAATGAAGGCGGTCCTTGTTATTATCTCCCCTGAGCACAAGTCTCCCATTTTAATTTTAAAAAGGCACAGCAGGACAAATTCTCGGCGTCCTGTTTGGAATTGACTGCAGCGCCACACAGGTTTCATTTTCCCACTCACCAATGTCTCTAAAAGGCAGCGCTTGAAGCTACTGTACAAACTATCACCAAGGCAACCGGAGCGCTTCATAAAAATATCACAAAACCAACAATACGACACAAAACAAGAAGGCCACTTCTGATAAATTCATATGTGATCACAAAGGCAAATGGGTTTTTTCTGAACCAACTAAGTTTCCATCTTTTTAACTGCAATACGGCACTCCGTCACATTTACTCTGTTTTATCAACCTCATCCACAAGAAAGGTCACAGCATATCTATTATTAAATGACTTAGCTGGGTATATTGCATTATTGATCAGTTCAGAACTACTTCTGAAAACACCCTCTGTGTCACTGACCCAGCTGTCATGTACAGTATTGTGGAACCCCCACCCAAAATTTCTATTTTTACATTTAATTTTGCTTTTGTTACCATATTTCCATGTTTTCAATTTAAAACAAATGGTAATCGCCGACAAGAACGATGTAAGTAAATACAACAAGCAGTTTTCAAAAGATACTTTGTTTTAGACAAAAGAAGTCATCCAAACCAACTAGGCTTTATGTGAAAGGTAATCCACCATGTGTTAAATCTTGAATTACCTGTCATTAGCCGTTTTTATGGAACGATTACTTCAACCTGACTTGTCTCTTACAGGCCAGATTCCTGTGAAATTAAGAAATCACTGAAACAAAACCTGTCTTACTACAAGAAGTTGGCCAAACGATTCCTAAAAGCAACTCATCTGACCACAATCAAAAAGAAACTCAACAACAGATCAGATACAAAGTAATAATGTTCATCTTGTCTGGAGAGAGATATAAAGTTATTGCTGAGGCTTTTGTACTTCAACGAATCACACTAGTTGTGTTTCTGTTGACCATATAATTGTGCAATTTGACATTTTGAAAATAAATTTGCTTGGAAACTCAACAATTATGAAAAAAAAAAAAACCTTTATTGATAAACCCCCATCGACATCTATCAATAAGATGTTTTTTTTTTTTGGCCGTACCAAAATCAGTTTATCTCACAAAACTGCGATGGAAACACTTTTTTTTTCGCATTACACAAGTCACATGATCAGCAACCAGATGTTTCCAGTGGCACAAACCACAAAGAACAAAACAACAGGATCATGGCCTGGCATGTTTTTAATGACCTATAACGTGAACAAACTAATTCAAGTGTGATGTCATTTCTTATTTAATGGGGAATATCGCAATTGCATTTTTTTTTTCGACAGTGGAATATTGACGTTTTGTGCACATTTGTAATGGAAATTCAGCTAGTGTGCTATTTTCCATGAACAGAGGAAATGTGGAACAGTAATGAACCTTTTTAAGTCTACCAGCATCCAAGAGAACATTAATGACTTATCACAAAAGAGCCCAGAACAACACTTGCCTTAGTTAAGGTGTTCATGTTTCAACAAAAAGAAAATCTTGGCAATAGGAGAAGTTGAGACCAAAATCACTGCTGTTCATAAACAACATAATAGGCTCTGTAACATTTCCTAAAAAAAACAAATCTCAATGTCTTGTTTCTAGGAAAATAATTTTGTTGACCAAGAAAAGAAAAGTGGAACTTTTTAGAGGGTGTGTACCCAGCAAAACCTACACAGGTCACAGTTAAACATAGTGGTAGTAATGCGATGGCCTGATGATGACATGGATAACTCATAATTGATGAAGCCATTCTGCTATCTTATGAAAAAAATCCATAAAGGGAATATCAGACCTTAGGTTTTTGACCATAAATTCAATAGCACCTTCATCATGATTCAATGATTCGAAGTACACAAGCAAGTGCACCTGTGGAAGGCTCTAACAAAACCAAATTGAGGTTTTGAAGTGGTCTAGTTAAAGTTCCAAGTTACAGCCAATAAAGATACTGTTAATACTTGAAACCTCCCATTGGTGGAATCTAACCTCCTCTTGAACCTAAAAGCTTCATAATATTTTATTATCACAGATGATTGATGGTATTTGCTGCTGCTAATACAGGTACAACCAGTTATTATGTTAAGTTACTTTTTCGCATATATAAAGGTTGCTTTGGACAGCTTTTTAAAAAAAATGAAATCATAATTTGAATAATGTGTTTTGTATTTACCCCATGTTACCTTTAATGATCTGAAATATCTGACAATGACAAAAGCAAAAGGAAGCAAATACTTTTCACAGCACAGTATGTATGAGTACTCCAAATTAGTCAGAATCATAAAAATCAACCAAACTTTTCAGAAATTGTTCGAGGACAGTTTATTATTTCATTTGAATGAAATACAGTATTTCATTTTAATAATACTCTGAGGTAACTGCACAAGCAGGTTTTGTGTTGTTGATGGGAGTTGTGTAACATCTGACTGAGCCACCTGAACTCTCAGCATATCAGGACCATAAAAGCAGCTCAGGAGCAAAAATGTACTGTGAGAGCACCGCATGGGGCAGAGCAAGCAGCAAGAGCTCAGAGACACCCGCCCACCCTTCCTGAATCAGCCGTTTCTGTGGCGACCGGAGCGGAGAGGGGTGGAGGGAGGCGCGCGGCGAGATCGAGGAGACAAACATTTTAAAACCTGGTGGGAGAAACATGGAGGAGTGGATGGACTGATGGCGTGGAGGTGGTGGGGTGTTAAACTGAAGGGTGGGGGACCAGCTATGGTCAAGTCCTCAGCATCACAATCTGTGACAGATTGACAGTCAAAGGCAAACAACAGCAGCATTCAGTGAAAGACACAAACACCTCAGGGATTTTGTTTTTTTCCCTGTCAAAGGCGGCTCAGGCCATGGCCATGGCTCAGGGGGGTTAAATGTCTTTCTGTATAATCTCAAACAGCAACTCGCTTCTTTTAAAACCTTCACTTTGAAGAAATTATGAAGTGCTATAAATAATGGCAGCATGGGACTTACTTTCAGATTTCAAACAAAAGTGAACTCAACAAGTGGTATGTCACAGGATTCTGAAGTAAACACAGAGCTGCCATTAAACCCACTGAGATTACGCAGCAAACAACATGGAGGAAAAGGTGCTAAATCAGAGCACAGGTTTTTATCATGCGCGGAATCAACGAGTGCTATGACGCATAGAAAGGGTTAGTTTTTTGACATACGTTCAGAAAAGCAATCTTTTGTTTAAATTAGTTATTTAATAGTTATTACATAATAGCCTCAGCAATGATTTTAGTCTTGTACCACCTTGTCTTCTGACTGTGTCAAAGCCACACCAGTTAAGAATGACTGCAGAAAATCTCTTGCGCAGTTTGTACCAAAAGCTTCCACTAAGCTCAGGAAAAACAGTGAAAAACGCAAAAGCCTGTGGCTCCTCCTGACAGTTGTCGCTAAACTCCACGCAGACCCACTGCGGGCTGCTCAATCTGCATTCCAGCAGATACTGTAGTCTGCCTTAAGCACGGCAGCTGAGACGCCACTGTTTACATTGTGTTTTCTCGTGTTTGTCTGCTTCTGAGAACCGGTGAGAGATCAGTGAGGGAGCCAGAACATGTTCCCTGTAAACCCAGTCACACACATGGATTCACACATGGTAAAAAATAAGGATGAAATATGAACATTTCAACTCAGGAAGGTGCAACACTTCCCTCCAAGTCTGAGCGATCATGCACATGTAAAAAAAAAAAAAAAAAAAAAAAAAAAAAAGAAGAAAAAAAGAAAGAAAGAAAGAAGCACCCACACCTGTCACATCAACGTGCACAACAAAGGTAGATACACCTCATCTTATAGCAAGTGACAGCAGTCAGTCGTGGAATTGGTTGCAAACAGTCAAAATAATCAGAAAATATTTAAACAATAATAATGAATCGTCGCCTGAAGCAGCTCATTGTTTAAATCTGATTTCATCCCGACTTACCTGCTTGTGATGCTGATGTCAGACTCCTGGTGGTGTGTGAGAGTGTGTGTGTGTGAGAGAGAGAGGCTGCTCAGACAGTGGCAGAAGTGCGCAGAGACTAGGCTGAGTTGGTCACACCGGCATGAACCAGAAGAATGACTGGTTTCTGCTCTGCACCTCGCAGTTCACTCCTCTTCCCTCCGCGCCTCAGAGACAAACAGCAGCTCTTCCTCCGCTGCCTCTCCCTCCCTTCGTCTTTCACACAGACTGTGGAGCAGCAGCAGAGTGAAGGAAGGAAAGGAGGAAAGGTTGGGGGGCTGCAGATTCTCTGATCAGTCTCTCTTCCTCCCTCTCCTGTAGGCAGTATCTCTCCCCAAGTATGGCTAAAGACAACAATAGCTGAGGGAATGAAGTATTGGGGGAGGGTTAGAAGTGGTTTTATATATTAAGTTGCAGGTATTTGTGTTGTGTATTGTGATGCGAGAAACGGCATGCTCCATCAACAACACTGCGCACCAGTGCCCATGCAGGCGTATGTGGTGGTGGGGGGGGCTTCACTCCCACCTTCTGCTCCCCCTTTTCACAACCGCCTACCCATCCCTCTTCTTGCCAGCCCCACACCAGCCTGTTGAAATGAGTCATCAGCCGTCAGCCAATCAAACGGTGGCACACAGCTCGAAGATTAGAATAACAGGAGTATTTATGCACTCCCATAAGGAGATGAAAATGAAATGGAGAATTGTCCAGGAGGACCTGACATTCTTGGTGAAGTGATCGAAGCAAACAGTAACAGACTCGTTTTAAATTAAGTGTGTCAGCGCTGCACTGTGAATGTAATTTCATTTTAGTTTAATGTCATACCTGGTGAGCAACAATTGTTTTATTTGGTCAAACATTTCTTAAAGCCGCATATTTACATATGTATGTATTTGGAAATGTGCAGTGTTGATCGCTACATGACTTGGAAAGCGTGACTCACTGGTATGTGATTCATTCAATCAGACCCTCAGCCACTTTTGAGTAAAACTTTGGCCTAACCCCCCATACATGCCCTAAAAACTGAAGGTAACTGGGGCCTGTAATCTTAGGCTGCTGTGTAATTTAGACCTACGCAATAAATCACAGAGATGTGCGTGTGCTGGGAAGTAGGAGGTATTATTTAGAGCATAAAAAGAACCAGAAGTTAAATTTACTGCTTCCACTTAAACAGGGATTGATGAATGGGACTTTGTCTGAAACCCATTTTCTACCTATTTAATGCTTCTCAGTCATGAGATTACAGTTTAATTTGTTCTCAATTGTTCTTTTCCAGCAATAAGAAGCAATTGTCAGATTTACATTCTGGTTGGTTCATTTGAAGAATAACAAAAATAAAAAAAAAGTCATAGGTAAAAAAAAGTCATAGGTAGAAATTATGAAAAAATAATAAAATAATTACTTGGGGACTGATGTCTTAACTTTCCAAAATAAAAAAATAAAAAATCCCAAAGCAAGAACATTGAAAACTGTCTTTGGAAGACAAAATAATATTCCAGTCAGTGGTTTTGGTGAACTATTTTATCTTATTTTATTTTTAACAATTCAAATAATTCAAACAAATCAAAAGGTAATATAATCATAAAGCCTTCTATACACGAAGATCAACTTTAGTTAAATTAAATGCACAATCCACAATAGAGATGTGTGGAACAAAGAAAAAGCATAGAGCTGTTTAATTGGCCATAATGCATTAAGCAGCAGGATACAGTGTCCACAAAAGGTCACCGAGATAATACCTTGGTGGACTCTTTTTCATTATCTTTCACTAACCTCAGCGTTTTCTCTGAGATAAAGAGCGGACCCACTGGGTACCATGGTAGGCCACTGCTAATTAGGACTTTAGGGACATTTTTTTTTACACTCTTGGGTTTTGTCTGTTTGCTGTGTAAAATAAGTTATTTCTTATTTCTAATGTGAATGCAGAAAAAACAAACTTGGTGGCTGGCACATTTCCCCATTGCATCCACATGAACGCACAAATGTAGATGTTCTGCACATGATGTTACAAAATAAAAATAACTGTTAACATCACTGGTTATAAAATCATGATTGTTTGAGACGCATTTATTTTGAGTCAAAACTTCAGGGATTTTGGTACGCCTGTGAAGTGTACAGTAAATTACACAATGACTGTAAGCTAATAACCATAATCCCCCAAAAATAACTCTTCAACAATTGTGAGCCCTATAAGCTGTGGTGGCCTATTGTCAGGGACACATGTCTTCTGTCCAGCAGGAGAAACAATTTCAGCCTAAAGTGAGAGGGTGGGAACGAATATTAACAAGATCAATAACTGTGAACAGAACAGCAGGAAATGGGAAACATCAGAGGAAGAAAAAAACAGAGGCGGTTTGTCTCTTGAAGGAAAGCTGCACTGTATCATTTTAAGTAATTTCTTTGGTCACAGACTCAGAACGGCCTTGCAATCCTATGCAAATTATGATGTATATCAACTGTTTCTCAGCAAAGCTATCACATACTTGGAAAATCTATTATTATTATTATTATTATTATTATTATCCTCAGTTGATGCAGAGGGCGGGTCGGAATGTTCTGTTTGTCATAGTTGTTACAGCGCCATTGCATGTTTATATGAACTTTGCAAAGATCCACGTCTGCTCTGTGCAGGTAAAACTAAGCACAGAAATCTGAACAAAGTGGGTTATTTTTTAAATAATTATTCTATGTTGCTTGATTCAAATTGAATCCGTCATAGAACCGCATCACTGCAGTCTGCAAGTGAACAAAAGTTTAGTGGTTCAGATTAGTTCCCTTCTAGATGTGTTTATTTTCATCAGTGCAGAGAAAATGTTTGCATTGTGTTGCATGAAATTAGCTATTGTTCCTATCAAGTCATTTGAGTAGAATACACTGTAGTGCATGTGCATTTTGTCTAGTGTCAGAGATTTGGTGCTGTAACGCTACAACATTTTTCATTATTTGAAAATGGTTTGTGGCAGAATAGGAAATAATCTCAAACAAACGATAAGGCAATGGTAGAATGCTATTTATTTAAAACTCCATCGTCTAAAACACCTTTGCAAAACTAGATATATGCACAATAGTATGATGGTGCATGCTGTTACATCTGAATAGAAGGGAACCAGAGTACTGTGATAAAACCTTAGGTAATACAAAAGCAAAATACTGGATGTTTGCTGCACAGCAGAGGGAATTCTTTAAACAAAACTCTGGAAAGCATCGAGAAAAGACAAAAACATTTGCTGTTTAATTTAATCCTCATTTTCAAAATATAAATTATCTGAGTGCACTTTAGAAAATATTTAGGAAGATTATTTCAATGAAATTTAAAGTATGAGCAGTACTGAAGTAATGTAGAATACATAAGGCTTAGGGTTAAAAAACATGCAGAGCAAGATATTAGCCTTGAAGTCTGATGCAAAATTGCAAGAGGGCTCTGCTTATTCTACCACAACACAGGACCTTGTAAGTGCAGCTCTATCCAACAGATAGAGAAAGATGGCATGACAACCACATAATAACTGTGCTTGACATTTACATCGGAGACTTGAAAATATCAGCCGAGATGTGAAGACATTACTCATCTCCTCCGGATTGCCTAATATTAATGGAGTATTGTTTCTCACATCTATGACATACAAAAACTTTTGTCAAGTAAATGTCTCAGAAAAATGTCAGGCAGTCTTAGATGTTCCAGATTATTTATTTATTTATTTATTTATTTATTTATTTATTTGTAAGCAGAAATAAAAAGCATTACATAAGACAGAAATGTGTTTTAAAGCAGATCGTTGCACCACTCTACATTAAAGGTAGAGGCACTCTTCTTTTGAAACGCTCTTGTTCACAATGATGTCTCAATTAGTGGCAATTGAAAAGCCAAATTAGCACACTTGTATCAGTTACTTTGGCAGATTTATTAAATTATTAGCAGATTTATTTTGAATAATCTGCAATGTTGTTTCTGTGACTTTTTACTTTATAACAACATGACTTAAAAAAAAAAGAAGAAGAAAAAAATAACATATCCAAAGTGTGTGTGTGTGTTTCCAGGTATTCAGTCTTCATGTGGGACTCTTCTCTCTTTGTCTCAGTTTTTTAACCAAAGAGGATGTTTTTCTTTCTTTTTCTTTTTTTTTTTTTTTGCTCCCCCTGAGGAACACCAAGGCTGATACCATCTTAAAAGGGGAAAAGCTCTGTCCTACATCACTGCTTTCTGCTGGTGAGGAATGACTCAGTGGCTCTGGAGGAGTGTGACACAAGGTTTTATCCCTTGGATCAGTGTGTGGTGACAGGAATGACATAGATGAAGGGAACGGACCCCCAGAAGGCTTTCTGTTAAGGTGTAACCGAGTGTGGGTTTGTAGGTGCCGGTGCCTGTTCCAGCGACACGTATGTGTGTACAATGTATATGTTTTGGCTGCATTTTAAGAGAAATATTTGCATTTTAATGATCCATGTTACTGGGTGAGCACTGAGGTCATGAGGTCAATAGAGGAAGGATATAATGAGAATGATGGTGAAATGTTGCTACAGTGTGTGTTATCCTGCTTCCTGTTTGATTTGAGCAACCAGGTTTCTCAGTCTGATAAATATGATTTCCCAGACTCTGTGTCAGCATGGAAACAAGGTACAAAAACAAAACGTTCTCTAAATGAGAAGCAATGCGTATGACAGGCTAAATATTATCAACAATTTAAAAAAAATATATATGTAAGTGTGCTGGAAATAAGACAAAAGTTTAGGAAAAAATGACAATGAACTTCCATTTTCAGGATAAGAAATACCTTTGCAGTAGTAAACTCCAACTTTATTTTTGTTTAAGTGATGGAGATGAAAGCTATCTGAAGAGGAATACCACAGCACAGAATAGCAAAGAATCCTACCAGGGCAACACTTTAAAAATAATCAGTGACATTGCAATCCGTGAACAGATCCTCTTTTTCTTAAGCTGCTGATATACTTTTTCTCATCTTGACAAGAATGGTGTTTCTAAAAACCTGTGCTATGTGGGTCTTAAATGTGAAAGAATGAAGTTTGTCTGTATTTTCCAGGACAGACGTTTACTGCGATGAGAGGCGTAAGTGGTCCACTTTGAATCTTTATCTTTGAATAATTCATTTTTCTAACATCGACTATATGAAGATATCGATTATATTCGCAGCCCTAGTACTGGGTTATTGGTGCAACATTTTAGGCGCTGCGTGTAAATCCTATGGTGTCTTCAAGTTCCAAAGCTCATCCCAAAGAATTCGTTAACAGGTCAAAATAAATTTTTAGCGCCCTCTGTTAGAAAAGTTTTGAAACTTGACATATGTGAACAGCAACTCAGAAAGAAATCCTGACCAAATCCACAGACTGCAGGTGATGACGCAACTTTTTAAGGAAAGTTTTTAAACTCTTCAGTGTTAAGATCTGATTCAGTGCTTACATTTAGAAAAGAGAATACCTTAGAGAATAGAGATGACTGCTAGCCA